TGTTTTGAACAAACGCACTAAATTATAATTTTAGAAGAAAATTGCAGTTGGGAAACGATAACGCTTTTATGCCAATAGAAATTTCGCAGTGTGCATTCAATTCATGATTACCACCATCGAGAAAACATATTTCTAAGAAACCAATCAAAAATACAATCAGAAAGACTGAAATGGAATCATGTAATTGACATCTAGGTAACAGTAGGTACATAGTAACTTTCATATGGTCGAATGTAACATTGTGTCAAACGGTCAGAGCAAACGGTGAAGAACCTTCGGAGAGTTGAGATTTTGAGCACAGACATGTACATTCTTGAGTACATAGAAGAAGACTAGGATGATGACTGGGAGGAATAACCCACCGAGTCAGCGGATAATTGTGTTTACAGTTTCAATAGATTAAGGAGTCGTTATTGTGGTACAATGAATATGGAACGTTTCTAAATGATCCGAGTCACAAGTCTAGTAGGAACGTTTCATACTCGTTATATCACAAGAAACTGCAATCGCAATTAGCCAATTATTCGGACGATTTCCCAAAATCATCATCCTAGATGGCTACAAAAATCAAGCCAGCTATATGCTATAGTTCACCTGGACTGAAGAAACTTTTCTGTCAAGAGCGAAGCGCAGCCGCAACATAAGTCTTTACAGAAACCGATTTGCATTCTAAAACCTGAAATTATGAATTCCAAGACGGTTCCAAGTTCAGTCCAAGATACTAAGTCCCAAACAGTTCTTGACTAACTGAATTCTGAGCAATCAGAAACCTTGGCATATATAAGGGACAACTGACGGGCATCTGTCTGGTCGAGGAGTTGAGTATACATTCGGATAAACCCCAAAATGTGGACGCGACTACCATCATCACTTTGGATGCATATTTATTGTAGGAGATAGCATGGTTAAAGAGAATAATGTTAACAAGTGCTAGCCCCGAAATACACGACATCGAGAGAGATGTCTCATTGATCCGACAATTCCATTAAGGTGCTTATGCAAAAGGTTAGGAAAGAAAGCTGAGGAGCAGTAGAGATAAAAGAGGGTAACACGCACACCGCGCTAAAAAAAGATGGACACATAACAGTGTACGGAGGAAGTCCTGAGAAGAGTACCAGAACGTGAGGCGCTCAGTGTCACTCCAAGGTATTACATTGACAGTGAAACATCACATGCTCATCTTCAATGCGGAGTTGTGAGCACTGTGTATAAAATTTCTGGTAGTGACTCTCTTTAAGCAATAAACAAAATCTCGCTCGCATGCTGGAGTGTTCAACCATAGGCAGCGAGTTTTGGACCAAGCTGTGAGGTTGCCCGGAGGATTCGTAGTTTGGCCGATGACTTTCTACTTGGATGATGGATACCTAGGATCACCTCCTCCGCGTACCTGAGCAACATGGATTCTTCAGAGACGGGGATTGAGGGAACGTAAGTGAAAAATAGGAAAAATCCTAAGGATACAACAGCGCTCTGAATGACACTGGAATTCGTGGTGCGTAATGACGAGTATGCAAACAGCTTGGTACACTGAATGCGCTTGGTAAGATAATGCTTCAGCAGAAAAACAACGTAAGGCTGAACTGCAGAGCCGAGTAGCTCACACAACAGCAGCTCAGAGTTAAAGCAACCGTAAGTGTTGCTATAGGCCAAAAAGAAGATGCGTAGGAGTTGTTTTTATAATCCAACGATGAAAGCGCAGAATGCACGAGGCAGAGTAGGACATCTAAGGTGGACGTTGATTTGCGATATGCAAACTGATGGGCGTCATCCAAATGCGTAGTGGCTAATATCTTTCGAAGAAAAGGCTTAGCAAAATGCATCAAAGCTATCAACGTGCAAGCAATTGGCCGATATTTGCAGGTTCTTTCTTTGCACATCTGTCGCGTATCTTGGGTTGTCTAAAGCACGACGTGTACAAATCGGTGGAAAGCTGTACCACGTAATCAGCTCAATCCTCGAAGACAATAGGAGACAGTTTATCCGGACTAGATGATTTTTTGGTCTTTAAGCTGATAAATTCCCTACGTATCTCCGTTATCCACAGGTGGGTTATTTGCAAGCAGCAATAATTCAACAGGTGACATGGAAGAGATTGCATAACATTACAGATCACAAAGTGAGGTCCATTTTCTCCACATCTAGAGTAGAATGCGTGATTCCTTGGGTGAATCCGCTTGACCGTATAGCATTTTCCAAATTTCTCGTTAATTATTGTTTCCCAATATGGTTTGAACGAGTATTTAATTGATGTGAAGCAATTTGATGTTTATATCAGTCGACAGACACTACTACGACTTCCATGCGCTCAAAAGCAAATTCTTTGAGTCTGCACAGCGGTTTGTGGCAAGAACATGTCAAGAAAAGTGAAAACTGTGTCAAATGGATGACATATGTCGAAGTAGAAGTTTAGGTAACTAGTTTACTGGTCACAAGACTTCGATACATCTGCGTCATAAATTAACCTAAAATCTGCGGAGGTAACATCTTTACGCCAGCGCTTAATGTTTTGAGGAAGATATTGCTACCGTCTGAACTTTCGGTCCTTGGAACCAGTGAAGTCTGTAGTTCGCCTTGATAAGTTTGTAGTGGCATGGTCATAGGTCCTGAGTGGCACCCGATCGCAGACAGAAACATCTTCAAATGCCTAACAAATATCTTGCCTAGAATCGCCGCTAACCTGGCTTAATATTGCTGTCGTGTCCACTGAGAGAGTAGCTCAACGCACAGTAAATGATGAACAAAAAGGGGAGTAACCTGGGGTCTAGTGGAGAGGAGGACGGGAATCAATCTGAACAGATGTAGACCACTCTAAGTATAGCCCGCCGAATGGCCAAGCGTTTTAACCTCAAGTCGAGAATAGTCTGTTGATCGATGCGTTTCCTGTCCGCGTCAATTTGACAATTGGGCAGTAGCTGGTTTAGACCTTAGCTTGTTCGGACCGCTGGGGAATATGCTTATTTTGACCTCTGGTAGCGAGGTTCGTGGATCTGTGTTCAAGAGAACGCACATTCCTAGCGATTGAACAGTTTGAGATTTGCAATTAATTCGCGTCAGACGTGTAAGAATCGCCGGCAAATACACACAAAGAGAATCTCAGATATTTCAGGACAGCAGCTGTAAACCCATTATGAAAGTCTTCAGTTTCGCAGCTAGGACATCTAGTGGAAATGTTAGCGGACAAAGCTGAGCTACAACCGTTCAAGTCTGCATTTCACGTGACAACAGCTGACACCACGCGAGCTGCAGCGAAAAGTGCTTTATGTTAACCTGCAACATGAAGAGTTGACATGTGCATTAGCGCCACCACCAAAACAGTTCCAGTGGATCATGCCAATATGCATAGGCGTTGATAGATCCAAGTTGAGGCCGGTTAAAGAGCCCACCTACGTAGACCGCCGGCGGTTGGAAAATGATGTGAAACCAAATGACAGCCAATCCTGCCATGTGGTTATAAACATTAACACACAACTTCACACACAATTTGACTACTCCTCACTGATTGAGCTTCAGTTTCCTCGGTGCACTGACAGCGCCAATTCAACGTCTGATAGCGTGTGACAGCATGAGGGCGATGTAAATACTTGGGTACCTTACGACAGATAACATACATCGTAGTTCCCTCGCAAATGAGATAAATCGAGTGCCCAGCCTCAGATCATTGAGTAAGCTTTTGTTGTTCCAGTGAGAATACATGCTGCTCGTGTTCCAAACAAGTTTCGCATTCAACGTTGCTACATCTACCTCGACATACATGAGTCGTCGGGCATGCGATTCAGCCTACTGAAGGGCCTTACACTAGGCAGCCTTAACTCCATTCTACCGGTAAGATGTCAAATCCGATGCACTTGACATCCGAAGTCGATCAATGACATGGCTACAAGATGACGACCGCCGCCGCACGGGTGCTGACGCCTGACCAGTAGTCACGAGCGGTATACCAGGTTCAGCTGTGCACGATGCAGACGCGTCGTACAAGACCACTATCATTATTGGTCCTAACTAATGGTTGTCGGGAGTGGAAGAGACTGGATATTTGTCGTTCGAGTGCTAGGTTCAACGAGCGGATTGTGAACCACGTGCTACCAAGTGTTAGTCAGCTGTGTAAAGCTTTCTAAATTTCAAGAGTAAATGATTGACACGTGCCAAGGTCGCGCAAGCAGTTAAAACATGATCTTAAGGAGAGTACAGTTTAGGATGCACCCAGTCACTGAGAATGGTCGCTCTGAGGAGTTTTCTGCTTGTGAGTGTCATCCGTCCTGACAGAGTAGAAGCAACCGAGACGGCCGCTAGCATCTGTGAGCGGAGTAGTGGGTGGAATAGAGCAAGAAAGCAATTCACAGTATGGATGTAGTTGTCAACTTATAAGGCTGCTTGGAATCACGACCAAACAACTCCGAAATTGGATGTCATCAAAAGATAGTAGAAAGGAGTGGTAAGCAGCTCGGTCCTCTCGGAGACAAGGAATAAAACCAAATGTGTCAGTTCAGAAATTTACAGCAGAAGTTTCCCCTTAGTAGACAGAAAATCACGGCATAGAGACGAATCCTGATAGATGCACGCAATACTCAAAATGCTCTCCATTGAAAATCCACACAAGGCGACTTTAATCGAACGGCTTTACTTCCAACATCCATTCACCGATTTGCGTCAGCAATAGGAATGTGCTTACGGTGTATTATAATTCAACCATCCACTACCACCGGGTGTGTACAAAATCCTCCTCCACATTTGGCCTAGAAGTAAGTTCGCAAAACGGTACCGATCCACAAGAGGCAACAAGTGCAAATCCGGGTTCCTGAGTTCGCGCTGTCAGCGACCACATACAGCAGTCGCCTCGCCTAAGAAAAGCGAACAATAGGAGTAGCACACGACTGAGACGCGTAACACTAGTGAATGCGGATAAGTTCTGTTGAGGGAGCAAGGCAAAAGACTCATGAAACCAGAAACAGTGGGGTAGCCATTAGTACCCATTGACCATAAGCAGAAGGGAAAAAGTGAGTATATGAAGAAGTACTAAATTTGCTGGTACCCCGAAAGAGAACGACAGGAATCATGCGAATCACCTCATCTATCACAGCTGGAATGATCGGGAACTATGATACAACAGAACTGTGATCAAGAAGAGGAGTGAAATAAAACGTAAAAGGGATACTGCACAAAAGAAGGTACGACACATGATTGAGGAATGCTGGATGAGATGGATAAAAATTCGACTACCTTGTTCAAATAAGTGGAAAGTGGCGCGAGCGGTGGACTAAAACAAATATGGACACTGATGAATATTATACACGGTGTGAGTTCAGTTCCGATCGAACCTCTGAGAAGAGCTATAAGTTCAGAAAACAAGTCGAAGACGGTCTAAGAGAGCAGTGGAGATCACAGATATTGTTCCAGCAGGGGAAATATATAGTTTTCTGGGCACGGGATTCATATATGAGGGTATTTATTATGAATTGCACGGAAATACTTGGGTAACTGGACGCCTCTGCACCAGTGTGGTGGTTGACGGCAACTGCAGTGGAGAAGATTACGGCAACCTAGAGGTTTATGTGACGCTGCACTCCTCTTTTCGTTACAATCTGCACAACGCGTGACTCCGGCCAGTCCAACCAAACGGATAGTCGATCGGTGGATATGTGGGTCGCCGAGGTCTCATCAGCATCTGAACTGCTCGCATCGGACGCATGCTTCAGTGGGCCTTGTAACGGAGGTACAGGATGACTTGAGATCGCTTTAACTTGTTGGCCGCCCATGCCGAACAAACCGGCAGTGTGAAGCTACAAGGACGAAAGGTTTACACCAAAACAGCGGCATGAATAAAACACAAACTAACATGTTAAATGTACTTCTACGTTGCACATAAATGTCTGGCAGTTAACTACCAGCATGCATTCCATGAGTTAGAAGTTATAAGATATCCGTACAATAATTTGAAAATGAGTGCTTAAATATAGGGAGCGTTGAGACGTGTGAAACGTGGGAAGCCCAAATTATCAAAATATGGTAGTTATGGCGTTCGATGTGGTAGTTCCCCCTGTTACAACGGTGACGTCTTAAAGACCTGTGCGGTAGGGGAGAATGCCGTTATGATCGATAGCCACAAGCCTCTAGTCACTACAGAATGACAAAGAAACCGATTGTAAAGCCAATTCATCACTAACACTGATGCTCAGAACTGATCCCGTCCGCTACACACGCTATCGAATTGGGGATGGACGAGCGGGCCAGGTTGTGTGATAAAACTTGTTGACCGTCAACGATTAAATGGTTAACGAACATTCAGGTTAATGTGCAGGAATCAGAAATATTTGGAGTTTAGTAAAAAGGCACTCCTAGGAAACTGAGCAGACTGTTTGTAGAAACTTCCAGCAATTAAAGAACCTTCACGCAACCATTCATGATAAGCTTGTTTGGTCCGGAAACAAAGTTACTGATAACGCACATGAGGTTAAAAGGATGTCAGTGAATGTGCTCCCAGAGACTGATACCTTTGGTCCTTAGGTGAACCAGGTGCTAAGAATGTAGTCGTAATGAAAGCGCTGAAGTGGTGGTGATCATGAACAAAGCCGAATATACTGAGATAATGTGCACCGTACTCAACGATGTGAGCAAACTCAGAAAAGTTGGGGGGCATAGCCAATGTCAGAACCTGCATCGTTATTTTTAAGAGTTCCCCTTACATCGCGAAACAGAATGTTGCAGCACTGTCTGCAGCGGTATTAGTTAACAAAAACATACTAGAGTGCAATGTGCCATCCAGGTCGATTCTCTCAATAGTGAACGCACCATAGCATACATCGACCCGTTGTTGGCTAGTGGAGATCCTTTCGCCGCTGAGACAAAGGGTCAATCCGTCTTGAGGGCTCGTTTCAGCTCAATTAGGACCTGGATGATATCAGCTTGTCTGAGAAGGTCACGTGTTGTTTAGATATGGAGTCCTCGTTTATTAACGTTCCTCTACTTCAGGCTACTGTTTATGTCCGGGAATCAGGTAAGCGCTATGAATGGCACCAATTCGAGGTTGCACTGCTACTGTCGGCCTACAGCTAACGAATACACCGTAAGGTGTATCAATGGGTATTTGAGTAGTTCCTGTACTCGCTTATTTCTTCATGCGCATAATAGGAAGAATCCGTTATAAAAAACGTTCAGGTATCTTAATCCAAATGCTACGTGGATGCTGATTCTGTCTATTGTTTACCGCACTAGCAGTTGCAGCAAAAAAGTAGAACGCTTAAACGGAGCTCATGCTAGACTAAGGGTTACTTGCGAGAATAATTAGAACATTGCTTCGCATATATCTGGACATACTCATCAATGAACAACTATTTTATACGGGTTAAGAAGCACTGCTTTACAAGTCCCGTTGTTCGGTGGCCTGGTTGAGTTATAGAAAAGTCAGTAAAAGCAGTTGATACTTTAAATATCAAAATAAGGAATTGTCGTTTGTTGCTCTGTAGTCCTCCACTCAACGTGGTTTCACTGCACTAGCAGGTGACAACTAATGAGTAGAAGGTAAGTCCAAAGAGTAGAATCGATAAAGACACTGTGGTAAATAACAAAATGTAGGTGGATGAGTGCGTCATTCAACCGTTTTTTTAATTAAAGGCAAAAAGACATCAGCAGCACGGCAGTAAGTGCAACCACCAGTCGCGCGGCGGCTAATGATACTGCGAGGGTCATCCGGTCTCCTATGCAGGCCCGAACCCGCGCCCTTGGATTACAACGCAGGCGTGGGATCCTTAAGACTATGGGCAAGTAGAAACGACCGATTCAAGGAAAGCAATACACGGGTAACACGCGAATTGAAAAATCGCTGCGGCACTCCAAACCGCTGTACCGTTCTGCTAGTTTCTAGGATTGAATTCACCGGTTTGGATTACTGCTGAGTTGTCATAACGAGCAGCACACATGATGTGGATCGTTCAGAATAAAGTAGGACATTTTGTGAAGACTCATCAGAGCTAGACCCATGCACACAGCCACCACACATCCCGGAAAGCGCGAGACAGTCGTTTTGTCCTACTGGGACTCGGCAGTAGCGCGCACGCGCCAAATCCTGACGGATTCGAACCTACGACTTACTGCGATTGCGCGCTACTGACGAGTACCAGTGGGACGAAACGGCCGTCCAGTGCTACCTTGGATGTGTGGTGGCTGTCTGCCTGGCGTTAACTGCGACAAATCTTCACAAAATATCCAATAAATCCCCCTACTACTTACATTATCAGATCGTCTCGTAATCGGCGATTTCCTCCGCTGAACACATCCAATTGTTTCAGTCTCTGCTCGTATGAGAAGTTGCGCATTCCAATGACGTACCTGGAAGCCCAACATTGAGGCTGTCCCAGTTTATTGGGGTCGTGTTTCAGACACGGATGCTACGTTTAAAATGCATATTCGACATGGGGAAACATACTCACTAAGCATATGTCCACTTGTCCGACCGTTTGTATTAACAGCCCGATGTGTTGGTTACCAGCTTTCGATGCCCTTTCGGATTGTTTGGAACAAACCAAATCATCCAGATCACGTTCTGCGGAGGTTCGCCACAGTACATGCGTTCCGAGCCCGTACGAGTAGTTGATCTGATGTCATATGGAGAGTACCCTACGCTTAATCACGTTATATTATAGTAAATAGTATTGATCACTGATGCACAGTGTCTAGGAGACTCTGAAGCAGATGCTAGATGGCATTCCCCTGAACTCTATGCGTAATATTGATGCCGCCAGCAAAAAAAGAAAGTTTGAAGCAATTACCTGTGCAAGACTACTACTAAACACCAAAAACAATCTTGGACCTTGAACTGAACTTTGCAACACACAATCGACCTGTATGAAGTCAGATAAAGAGCTCTGCAATCAGACCACCAACTGCCGTTGGAGGAGAAAGTTGGCGATCCAGCTTAGAAGATGGGCACCGATCCCGTAATATTGTAGTTTAAAAAAGAGTATCCGACGATTTAGACGATCGAATACCACGAAAAATCCAGGTAGATCACATCAACGTTCTCTCCAGCGTCAGCTGACTCAACCCAGCTATTCCGTGCGACTAGCAACTTCGGTGAGCAAGATTGCCGTCAAAGGAAGCCGTGCTGCACGGCTCAATGATGTTGCAGTTTTCCAGCGTGTCGGCAATAATGGGTTTAATGACTTTGGACAGCGTAAAAAGAAGTGAAAGTGGACGGTAGTTTGAAGGCTTAGTGTTGCTTTCGTCTTTGTGAATCGGAGCTATTATTCCCATATTCCTCATGACGAGAACTCGGTTCTGATCTAAGCAGCGCTGGAAGAAGTGAGTCAAGGGTTCTGCTAGTTGTCGCGCCGCCGATGCCAATGCCTCTAGGCGAATAGTATGGAAACCCGGGGAGCTGTGGCTTCGCAGAGACGTCAGCTTCTGCAATACACCTTCAGCGATAGAAGAGATGTTGGTGAGTACTGGCGGCATCGCATGTGTTGGCTCGGGCACGTTTTGCGCATGCCAGCCCATCGCCTTCCACGTCGAGCGCTATTTGCACCCCAAGGGAACAATTGGAACAAGTGCCGCGGTGGACAGCCAATGAGGTGGAGATGGAGCATGAAGAAGGTAACCTCAAGTTTGGCGGTAGTCGGATAAGTCCGTCTTCCAGGTTGGGGACTACGCGATGCTGAATCGCAGTGGTTGAAAAAATTTGATGTCATGGCCCGCAACAGACCTGAATGGTGACAAGGTTGTTCTGCCAGCCCTTTAATGCACATAAAAAATCCCGAAACAAAACAAAAAAACGCAAACGGCTTGTGAAAAACCAAAAAAATCGTTTTCCTTCTTTAAGATCGCATTTAGCGTCTTTATTTTCTCCGCTTTTTTCTTCTGCTATGGTTCTAATGGCACAATGTTTGTTAACAGGCTGTGAATATATATATATATATATATATATATATATATATATATATATTGGCGACGGTGCGACCAGAGCTGGAAGAACGCTTGATGGCAAGACCCTCTGAAATGTGGGGGGATATTCCATCCGCAACGCGTTTGCTGCTTCTGTAGCCGTTCTTGTTGGGTCATGAGCCGTCCATAACGCAGGAAATCCCTGTCTCACTTTATGCAAGCTACTAACGTGCTCGTACAGAGTTTGCGGTTGGCGCTGAAAGATTTTGTGATGCTTTGGCGATATGTACAATCTTGTCTTCACTGAGCAGTTAAGCGTAGTAGTTACGTTGGACTAGGTAGTCGTCTCAAGTATTTGGCAATGGAGCTAATCTACCCACTCACGCTATGCTGTGTTGCGTACAACCATGTATTTTCCGAGTTCTTAACCTTACGAAAGAGAGTGGTCTAAACATAATGCGAATTATTATTCCTGAAGTATCTGTAAACAGTCGATTGAATTCGTTGACGAACTCGAACCAGGCAACTTCTGGGGGGTCTTCGACAAGCAACGATCAGGTGGTGGCACTGACAAGCCGGGCTAAGCGGTCGTAACGTGTGACAGTGCGCACCGTCTCATGCTTCTCATTTTGATATTCCGTATAGATGAAGTTGAGACTAATGACTAACGGGCAGTCTACAACAAACACAGCAATCATATATTCCTGTTGGTATGCACAATAGCCTGTTTCCTGTTCTGAACCGAGTGGGCAAAAACGACGTGACTGTAAAGTGGAACAGTGGTTACGAGTTCTTGTAGATCGGCTTTTAATTGGTCTCCGATCGTAACAGGGGGTTTTAAAGTATATTGAAATCACTCATGGTCAAGATGTGAGTGTACTTTCCATTTACAGAGTATCATAGAGCAGTCACGAGGTGGTAGTCCGTTTCGTGTGTAGAGTTTGGGGAACGGTACACCAAGGCTATAAGGCAAGTGTCTCTGCCCTCTAAACGTAGAAGGCACGAAAGCGAATCAGGGAGTTGCGAGTCTAAATCCCCCAAGGGCTACCACCGCAAGCCACTTCGGTAATACAGAATTATTCCCTCCTGTTGTGAATCTGCCATTTCGGATGTGGATATGCCTGGTAGCGTCCGTCATTCCAACGCGCATCCAAATCTCAGTGATACCGATGAAATCGTATAGCTTAGAAACTTGGTGAATTATCAGTTCGGCCAGCGTACTGAAAAGGCTTGAGCGTTAGTATACAGGCAGATTAATTTCGTAGTTTATAGGAGCCTACAGCGAAAAAAGGAGTCAGGTGTGGGAAAATGCCGACCGATTTGAGACAGGCCGTTATTCTTTCTTTGACGGGATACTGACACCTCCTCCCTAACTTTAGTTGGACAAGGTACGTCCTACTCCCCGTCTAGACCTATATCAGAAGCGGGTGAATGAGCGGTCGAGTGAAGCTCTTGTGTCATTGACGGTGGGTTCGCTTTTTCGTTTGATTTCATGTCTCGTCTTTGCAATGCCTCTGCAGCCTTTAACGGAAGTTCAGAAGACTACACCGATTTCCCCGCCAACGGTCTAAAACATCCGATACTGTTTTTCGCAATTGAACTACCAGTCTTAGGATTCTTGGGTCGCATCCTTTATAAGTTGGTGAGAGAAGCAGCCTTTTGAGTATTCGCGCCACAAGGTTGTTCAAAGAAAGTGATTCACGAATAAACTGTCACTGTTCCAAATCGTGCTTCCCGGCCTATCACGGGAAGGAAGCTATGACACGCTATGAATGAAGATTGTGTTTGGGCGATCCTGCTTGCTGTGTCCTTCTGTGACGTTTCTCTTCGATTGACTCATGTTCCAAAAGACACACAGATAAATGCGTATCCCACAGGATCAGTGTCGCAGTGCACTTGCAGTGAATAAAAGGTCTCCTAAATCAATGGCGGATTATAAAAGCACTCTAATAATTCGCCGTTAGCCATAGTGCGCAGTTAGGGTTACGACGAACTCGTACTTGGGCGTCCATCAAAGTGCACGATGAATTCCATTGGCCATGGTGGTCAGACAACGTACCCTGCAATGAGATGGCGGTATAGTCGGAGACATTTGCGTACACAACAGTCAGGGCGCTATTGTTGGAACCCTTTTTCGAGGAACCGCAAATTCGGATGGATGTTGGCCCTATCGTTTTCCCAAGTGATTAATTTTAGTTTTTTCTCTCTATTGGCGTTAGCGATGTCTGTAGCAAAGGTGGCATCTGGATGGCTTTGGCAGCAATCTCTACATATGTGATTGATGTCACGAAGCACTTGGGCTCGGCAAGAGACCTTTGAGCTGCAGATGCAGCAAGTTGTTGTTCGGCTTCCTCATATCTGCTAATGATAGAAGTTGTTCAGACCGGCGGAAGTTGATGGATCACCCGTTTCGGTTGGTGCCTGATTTTCACCTTACGTACTGCCATGGTTGAGATAACGGCGATGGAGAGCTGGCTTATCGTGGTACAGGAGAAGTGATTTGTGCAGCACTCCTTTGCTTGGAGGCCACTACGCTTGCCTGAGGAATTAGTCTTAGCGTTCATCCGCTGCTCGGCGTCTGCTGCTAACTGGTCGCAATGCTGGACTACGGTAAGCATACGCTTGACAAATGGGACAGTACAAAAGCAAAGGACGTCCGAGGAATTGTTCCCCTCTCATACCTGTTGTTAAGATAATTTAGCACATTTTGGATGACACCACAGGGAACAGTGCGAGCAGTTTAACCACAATTCTACTAATCAACTACATTCTCCCGGAGCCCTTTTGGGTTTGCATTTACTTGAGTTCTGTCAATCAGCATAGCGTCGTTATCCGACCCAGTAATGTTCTACATTTTTCAGACCTTGGTGGCTGCGTACATCGGTCAGATGCATTGTGGTTATAAAAGCCAAGTGAGCGGGGGACTATCGGTCGGTGGGACTGTACGGTCCGTGTGACGGCGGGTTACGTAGATGCACCGGGTGATAAGGTCACGGGGGATGACGATTGTAAGCGGGGCGACCAGCAATGTACCGCAGAAGTGCAAGACAGTGACTGTAAATGGCATGTGAGAAGGTCGATTTCCAGTTAAGCCGATGGCCTCAGGAAAGCACTTTCGAACGAGCGTAAAGAAATGCAAAGAGATACTTGAAAACGGAGGTGTTCCACGCGTAGATTACAGCAATAAAGCCGTCACAAACGCAGAAGCGGATTTGCCGCAAACGCCTATCTGCGTATCATTCGCTGGATAATGTCAAAAAACTGGCGCATAGGGTAGTGCCATACACAGCTTAGTGTACCTTCTGTGACTGCGTGGATAGTAGCACACGGACCGTAAAGTATGAACAACAACAAATACCATCGTAGCAGTATAACTGACGTTCAATGCGCATTGGCTCTCAGTTCAGCAGCAAAAATGACCACCACCTGGCGGTGAATCATAGTGTTGGTGGAAAGTCTGTACGATGCGTCCCGCCCATATGCTCTCGTACACAGAGGAATGTGGGGCGAACACCACCAACCCATCTAAGAGGGGGCAAAGCAGCGACCAGAATAATGAAATTAAGTCAAAGCAGGAGAACTAATAATAAATGTGCCCACGTAACATATCGACAATGTCAAAAACAGCTTATCAGTCATGATTGATGGAACACGTAAGGTGATGATTACCTGCCAAATACGTAGGAGACCTTCAGAAAGGGAGTATGTGGCAACCAAGCGCCCGTCCGCCTGGAATCGGACGGCAGTGACTGGCCCCTTGTGGCCGGGAGTGACCTGGAGAAGAAGCAAACGCAGAATGCCTGAGCGAAAGAAAGTACAACACGGCTGGGGAGCAAAAAAGCAAGAAGTAAAGGAAAAATATCCAAGATTTTGAAGCTTCCGAGTCCAAGTAAACAACAAAGAAGTGAGTGAGACAGTGTAACTTTAGGATGAGAACATCGATGCAAGTCACAAACGGTCAACACAATTAACGTTAGAAAATGCACCAGAAGCTTCATGGGAAAAGCATGGGTTCGTTTTTGTGTTAGAAGGCGCAAGTAGGCAATTCGTGTGCATTCCCATCAATTGCAAACGTGCAAAAATACTTGGTCCAAGGGTGGCAAATTAACGTGAGACAAATTGGTGGCCGGATGGTGACCTTTGTGTGACCCAGGCAACCTCAGTGTCGCTACCAGATACTTTTAGAACCAGGGCGGCGGCGCTCAAGATCGATGATAACGGTTCCAAGGAGGTTGGGAATGTGAGCTGCCTGTTAGCGTATGATGACCGAGAGTGATGCTTCGGGACTAACATGATGATGGCGAATACATCGTGATAGCTGAGACAACCTTGCTTTCGATTCACCTGATGCAACTGTCACGAAATCTCCGTTTAGTTGTGCACTCACTTCGTCAATTTGGACAACCAACCCTTGATCAGTGCGTCCAAAATAGCTATCTGGACAGCTACGGGTGAAGCCGTATAGACACTGGAAAGTGCACTATTTGCATGACGTTTTCTTCTCTAAACAGATAAGCAGGAGACGCACTTAAGGGAGCTTGAGCGTCCGATTCGACCAATAGAAAGGGACTATGGGTGGCTTGCGCTGCACCACCCACACACTCCATTTCCAGTGTAAACCCGAAGGAATAAGACCGGGAGGCATGTGGATGGGAGTCGCGTTTCATCAACAGAGCCGGCCCGCACTCCTTCACAGGCAAACACAAGCACGCTGTATTTGGGAATCAAGTGCACACAAGGCGGTGGCTGGACCGTAGTCCGCTCCACACTGAGTGCATGGAACCACTCTTCGAGCCTAACACGGCCACAAGGACCGTGCACCCCGTCCCCCCAGCAACGACCAACTGTCCCCTGGAGCTAGTATAGACGAGGTAGTAGGTAGTAGACAGGTAATCACTGTGCCAACATGCACATCAAGCGCAGCCACACCGGGGATATCAAGCAACAGTCAATCACTTGAAACGATAACGAATAAAATAAATCGAACAATGCATAGAGATACGGTGACACAACACTTCACTAAATGAGCGTATAAAAGAAATTGGTTGCTAAAAGTCCGCGAAGGGTTCAATACGTCGGAAAATATATCTTGAGAAAATGCCCCGAAAGCGAAATGTTATCTAGGTTACATACAATTAGCTTAAGCGACGTGTGCAAGTTTGTAGAAGACAGTTCAGGTAGATATTAATCTAAGATAAAAAAGTATCAGAACAATATAACAAGCCCACCACCTGAAATAAAGAGACCCAGCATGTAAGCAAGCGGTTAGTAAATCGAATGCAGCGTACCTACAAACGCTGCACCGGTTCTGCCTAGGTTGTCTGCAGAACTCGTCGTCATTTCGGTGGTGGCTCCGAGTGATCTAGCTCATGGCTCACTAGGCCTGCCTGACTCAGGCACTCGCGACCGCATGTGCTACAGCACCAAGCGCGCGATGTCGATGGAGTACAACCCATCGGCGCATGTCGTTTCTGCACTTGCCGCGTCTTCGCATGCAGGTCTTTCTCCCGCAGGTCTTTCTCCTGCACCCCGCCAATTGCCTTCGTGATTAGGTCGCGCCATGCACGCCGATCAACCGCCTTCGATTCTTATGACCTGCAATCAACATTAGAACGTGAGAGTGTCACTTTGATCATGCCCTGGTAACGAAGCTTCCGTTTTCCCATATGCCGCTTCCAACACACAGCTGACCATATAATAGCTGCTTCGCTATCCACGTCGAATCCATACGCCACACATGACCGAGCCATCGGAGGTGTCTCAGCAAATGTATGCAGTCCACTGCATACATTCCGTGGTCGCAATTCTGTCGCACCAACCGATGCGCAGAATCCGTCGAGAACACTGTTGATTGAACCGCTAGAGCTATCGCACATCTCCCCGGTATATCATCCACGTTTCACTGCCGTATAGAAGAAAGGACAGCACCAAAGATTCGTAGACCATTAGCCTCGTGCCAACAGTTAGCTGATGACGTTTTGATTCGTTCTCCGAGCTGAGTAATTTAATGACAAACATTTCACCACTTCCCTCAGTGGCATCTTCAGTGCACTGCTCCGGAGAGGAAAATCCCACGGAGCAGTGCACTGAAGATGCCAATGAAGGTCTGGGCGTCCTGGCAGTATCTCAGCCCACGTACAACAATGACTGCATCTTCAAACTTCAATCAGATCCTGTATCGGCCGTCGCGCAGACTATTAAGAGTCGCTTTAGCTGCTACATACAGCAGGGCGGACAAGCGGAAACATGCTATTGATGGCACCTCCTTTTCTACCTGTTTCTCTTACTCCCCTACCAGTCCCCAATATTAGCCTTCTTTCTATAATTCTCAATTTAATTGATAAAAGCCGTAATGCCACTGGAGTCGAACCACCTGCAGTTACCTTCCCGCACCAGCCACTGGGCGCATATCGCCAACAGTCTTCTTTAAGACCACGCTGTCCACTTTCAATGGTGGCGTTTAACGTTCTCCACAAGTAGTGTAGACTGACAATAGCTGTGTACTTCGATCTGAAGCGTGCATCTGACTCAGCCGATTCATTCGTTCTGTTCGAAATATTTGTGCGAGATGTTCCCACGAAATATGTGATCATTTTATGTGCTCCGTACTCGCACACCACAGGCCGCATCAGGGTCTACGGTGAGTTGTCGTATATCTTTCTAACAACCAGTGGCGTTCGTCAGGGTTGCCTAATTGTTGTTCAACCTCGTCGTGGACTCCATCACGAAGTGTTCCGTTGCGGAAGCTCACGACGTAGGCATTGAAGTGCTGCTTGGTGAGAATCTAGTTCATCTTGATTATGCGGACGATACTGTCGCGCAGAATAACGATGTTGGGGCGGCATAATCAACCCTGAAGAGCCTCTCTTGAGTGGTCCCATTATTTGGTATGCGCTTCGCACCTACAAAGTGTTGTTTTAAAACAACAATCTACTTGATGACCTCTTGACCCTAGATTGCGAAGAAATCGAGGTAGTTGATCAATTCACTTACCATGGCAGCTGCATCGGCAACGATGGGCACACAGTCAGTTCATTTATTGCAACAGCAAGAATTGCTTTTTTGAATTGCGACATCTATGGCGACAGAAAGGAGTTTCCCTCCGCCTGAAAGGTCGTGTTTATAAGGCCACAGTGAAGGCCGTTCTACTCCATGTGAGTGAGACTTGGCCCCTTCGATCGGAGGCGCCTTCGAGTTTTTGAACATCGCTACCTATGGAGCATTGCTGGTGTCGGGTGGCACCAGCGTGTCTGCAACGATGATGTGTGTAGAGGAGTGCTAAGCAGTGATAACCAAGCCAGTTCCTTAAAACAACAGATAGCACTGAATGAATTGGGTTGGTTCGGCCACGTACCACGTATGCCCGGACACCGCTTACCAAAGAGGGCCCTGTTTTGTCTCCCACATCTAGGGTGGCGCAAAGTTCGAGGGGGACAAAAGTTGACTTGGCAGCAGGAAATGAAATCAGTGACCACCAAACTGGGTGCCGTCGGTTCCTTTCGTCTTCTAGGTGGCTCGCCTCGTGCTTATATTGATACATTACAGGACAAGGCTCGCAGTCGGCACCAGTAGCGCGTCTGCTGCCGTATCCTAGTTGGATTGCCTGTTTAACGTGGGTATGGTGCTGAGTTATCTACGGGGTAATGGCTGATTAGGACGCGTGGCAGTGAAAGCCGCAAGGAAGCTGTCTCGCTGATGCCGCCTTATGTTTACACGATAGCCAGCTGTTTGTGACGACATGTTGTTGGCGAGGTGCGGGCACATTGCCCCTGAATGTTTGCTTAGGGCATTAACGTATTGGGTAAATGCCCTTTTCTCCCTCTTATTATTCTTCGTTTTGTAGGTCACTGCGACAGCGAATCATTAGCTCGAATGGTTGATGTATTGCTGTTGACAATGATGATGACGACTGTACCAACGATACGAAGCCTAAACTAAGTACGTCGTATGAAAACTAAACTAGAAACTACGAATAAATAAACTTAGACTAAACGCATGGTTTGGGCAGAGGAATAAGACGAATTATCCTGTGACTGTGGTTCTATAAGGCATATTAAACATAATACATGACTTACGAATGGGTTTTGCAATCGTAGTGTAAGAGGGCAGAAATTGTACAGCGTGCGGTGTCATGCGAGTATTTGAGCAGTGTCACATGATAATATGAACGATCGAAAGGAATAAATATACGATATGGTAACCGATTGTAGAACACAGAGTAAAGCGATGTAAAATGAGCAGAATAATTAGGGAATAGAGATACCGTGTCCTCATGTAAGCAATCCAGGTTGGGGATACATCAAAGTTCCTTTTGGGTTTTACAATGATGATGATAACGGTGATGAGGATGAAAACAATAGCTGACTCAGCCCCGAAAATACTGGTGACCTCTGACTAAGGATACAATGTGTGCAGTAAGGCGAGGAAATTCACCAAGCCTTAGCGGATTTTGAGCGTGCGCAGGACATGACGAACAGTAGAAACCGTGTACGAGTTTGATTCAGGGAGATTTTAGAGTTGATAAACTCAAATTGGGCTAAAAGATGTGTAGGTAGGCAAAGGAGTTGAGTGAATCTGGAAGTGAACCGAAAATGAATACTCACAAGGTAACGGCCAAGTTTGAAATCGAAGAAAGTCAGCGAGCCATTAACGCCACCGACGCACACTTTATGGATCCGGGTGTGCGAAGATAATGCGCTGAATCTGCGTGGGAGTGAAAAATGAGCAGTTGGGAAACGAAACGCAAGCAATTAGAATGCACAGCTGAATTAAAATTTGGATTTACAAAATAGAGGTTCTGATGACAGGAAAGGAGAACTACCCTAAGCGTGATTCTCTACAGATAGCTTCACAAGCCTGCACATTGACCTAAATCCTGTATAGGAGCAACTGACGGAAGTCATGCGGATTATGAACCGCCACATGAGACAGAACGAGGCGGCGACCGAGCAACGTACCAGCACAGGTCACAGGACAGTTGTTGATCAAGCGCTACATTCATTGAGATTGTCCGCCCCACCGTGAAGCACTGACGATGTTATCTTGATTAATAACAAAACGTCTGCGACAAAATTGCCTAGCTCAGAGAATCAACCATAATTTCAATAGAACATAAATAGATGTACAACACAATATCTCGATGGCTACAATCAATATAAACGTGTCCTCGCTCTAACATAGTATTCCACATTCAAATGTCCCTAAAAGCTTACGTTTCCAATCTTTAGAGTTACTAGTTTCGCTCATAGGAGTATTCTGTATGTTTCACAGTCGAAACTTAAAGCACTTAGACAATGAAGAGAGCCGATGCTACACTTCACTATCTATGATTACTGCTAGCATGCTGCAAAACTAGTCGCAAGCTCTACTTTGTAAATGGATTTGTTTCAATGATGTCTGGGGCAACAATCAATGTTCAGTCCTCTGTTTACCAGCCCACCGAACAAACCATGCATGTATTCTGGAACACATTGGCTGTGGTGTCCAGCCGGGACGAATAAGTTTGATTCATGAGCCCAAGTACGAATGTGATGCATTTGGCCGACAATAGCGAGCGTTAAAATGCACTGATAGGTGTAGCGGCTGTAGAGTCAAAAACGGACCGCTTCAATGAAGCAGCGCTCCAGTAATTAGAGTGACAACATGGACAGACGCTTTTGGTGTGAAACGCACTAAGCGAAAAGGCAGAGCTACTCCCAATCGGTTATTGGAAACACAAATCCTGTGTGACGGAAAACCAGTCATCAGATCAAGGGTTAAATAAACTTCAGTGGCAGAAAATTGATCGAACTCTAGACCGTCCGGAAGTAAGATGTTGTATCTGCAACTCAAAGGACAGGCAAATGATGCGGCGCGGTGTCAGTGACGATGGTGCGCAAGGGTAAGGTGGACGATGTCGCAACATGCGTCCAAATTTGGGTACAGTTGGCGACGTGCACTAAAACAATGGAGCGGTGTTAACAAACAGCTGCTCTTAAAATGCAGTCCGGAAGACCCGAGAATTGTCATTAACACTCAATGTGTTGGATTAGCAAATGAGTGTGAGAGAATGCGCGGCGTAATGAAGGTTCCACCAAAAATGATTTCAAAAGGAGACGGATGCCAGCTCTCGAATAACCACAACAAAACAAGCAGAGGTGAACGAGCCAGTGATTACATTGTGTAGCTCGGATACCGAGCCAATACACCCAGACTTACTGCCGAAAAGTGGGGAACAGGAACTCCAGGCCCCGTTCCTTGAGTCGGATGCGATCAAGGCAAGCAAGGACGACTTCGACAACTTCAGGGAGAACCGATACAATTTCTGACGCGCATCGAGCGCATAGTTGTTCGAAAAGAGGCACGATCTCCTCACGGGCGGCAAATATAGGGGGACAGGGATTGGTGAGGCCGGAAGTTGACTCGGAACCTGCTGTTGGCAAAATAGGGAGGGGCATAATCGGAGTGATAATGCAGTATGACAGAAAAGGAAATAAAGTAAAAAAAACCGACAAAAGGGAGATCAGCGAAAAATGCACTTGTCTAAGAAGGATGAGGTACACTCTAATGTCAGTTCAGTAAGTAAACTGTGATCTGATCAACAAGCGTGATCGGTCCGGTCACCATGACCGATGCCGAGATAAGGAATGACTTGGAAAAAGGAGGAGGCAAATTAAAAGTTAAGGGAAAAACATAGAAGGAAAAAAAACAATCATTTCTCAGAAAGGCCAACGGGTAAAGGTAATAAGTTATACATCGCGAAAGCGCTACCGGTTCGCGACTGGTCCAGCAGTGCAGTCGATTTAGTATGCATCAAATACGGAAACATGTGACAGTCCTAGAAAGTCGATTTCGCCAAGATTTTAAACCATGACATAGGTTAGGTACAATAAGGCGCCAGGTACTCAATACTATCTACTATTTTGAAGAACAAGCCTGATAATATTCGCTTAGTACTCACCCAAGCACATCATCGTTGCGGACACGCTGGTGTCATCCGACACCAGCAATGGCCTGCAAACAGTAACGGTCCAAGAGCTGCAGGTACCTCAGACCGAAAAAACCAAGCCAACCAACAATTGCACAGGTTGCAATCAAAGAGTTGTGACTGCCTAACCTTCGATTAACCAGTCCAAAGCTAACCTGTTCAACATGTGTGCATTAGCCTGTTAGATTGTGGTGACAATGACGTTTACATCGACATTGATCCTTTAGCACCTATCTCACACCATTTATGGTGTACCTGAGAGCGCAAACAATCAAAGTTTGTTAGTGTATATAAATAATAATAATAACAAAGATCTTGGATCACTTCCGTGCTTCAAACAATTTGTGATCGAACAGTACGCATATCGCAATATTAGGACAAAAATAGTTGACATTAACGGAAAAGATTAATCTGCTACATTTTCTGGAAAGTAGCAGCCAAAGAAAGGCGGCAGAACCTTTTTGATGTTAGTAAAACAATACTTAGAAACATGTCACAGCATAAACATGAGCAGTTGGGTGTTGGCCGTTATGTAAGAGCTCATCTAATATATTGGAAACAGGGTGTGCGTGAAATCAAATTACATAAGGAAATTTTCATAGTGGAAAAGCAAGGTACGCTAAGTTCTCGTTTAGGTCCATTCCGCCCGGAAGTTTTAGTTTATTTCGACAAATGGTGTATACGGACCAAGGTAAGGGCTTACAACAAATTGCCAAAGTAGGATAATGCGCAGGTAGACAATGGCCCGGAATAAAGGAATTAATAAACCGGGCAGAACCACACACCGGGTCAGTTAACGCGTTGTGTGCTAGCTGGAAACTGTAGGGAGAGGCTGTGCGCAAAAATCTGTAATGCACACTTATTGACCCGAGAATAATAGAAATACATCACACAAATGAATTGTAAAGGACACAAAGAGTTGAAATATCTTTCAGTAGCAGGATAAATAAATCCGCGGTTATTTACAATCACATGATTGTGGATAATAGTTGACACCTACAAAAGTGACACCGCACACAGCTAGGAAAATGCTTCTGCATGAAGACCGAGATATTATTAGTTCATTTTCAGTCTGTATGTTTCTTCTATGTGATCGGTAGCCTATATGGCAACATCTACGCGATATAGCTCTTGACAGCGAGCGAGGAACGTTTGATCGAGGAGTTAAGAGCGTGTATTCTGTTGTAGGGTAATATGAATAACCCTAGGGCGGAGTGTAGTCCCAAGCCACTTCAAAATGTCGTCTTTTATAGCGAGCAACGTGGATAACTGCACATAACTGAAAGCGTCAGATAGCAATACCTTCTGAGAACGAGCTTCACGGCAATGAAGAAGGGATGTTGAGGATGGTGGTCTGCCTTTAACTCGGTGTGTTTTCGTTGAGAAGACGCCCGCCCGCAAATCAACCCTCATATGAATAGCCAAGGAAAGATATTGAAGGGTTTCCTGAGCCAGAGTGATTTGAGGAGGGAGCTGTAATAATGTGGAGAGGAGCCTTGTCGAGGACGGGCTACCTGCACATAAAGACAGTTGTGGTAATGTGACAGATGAAGGCCCCAGAGGGACTTCGCCAGATGGCGCTCCAGGCGAGATTTCTGGAGAAGAGGAATCATGGTGGACAGATATGACAATTCGAAGTCGAAGTTTTCCATAGCAGAGTGAAAGCAGACCACCGGTGTATCCTTGGGCAGCCGCAGCCATTTTTGTACATGGGTACGAACTAACTTATACATATTCTTTAATGTGCCACTACCAGAGAGACTGTGAATTTGATGGAGGTAGTAAGAAGTTGCGAAGTATTTCTAATCGCTGTTATGGCTTCAGGAGAGCTCGGGCGGTCTTTTGAAGCTAAGAGCGTATTTGTTCTATGGATGCAGAGTAATTTGACTTTCCAACTAAACAGAAGACTGATATCCGAACGATTCGTCTGGTTGAAACATTGATATGACGATCGAGGAATAAAAAATGGAGATGTATCCAAGATAGTAGTTTTTCACTTACTGTCCACGACAATAGTGCATATAGTCGACTCCAAATGGTTAATCGAGAGTAAAATGAGACTTAGACCAAAAGGGTGAATAAAACGGGAGTTGAGCTAAACAATCTGCGTTGTGCTGGACGGGATGAGAAAGACGACGAGGTTGAGTAAGGAGTAGGGAAAGTAAGAAAAAGTCCCTCCACACTTAAAATGTGAGTAATTGCATCCGAATGTCGAGAATAGAAAAGTCGAAGGATTACGGCGATGGAGTGCCAAGTGCTTTTTTAGACCCGAACATGTCCAAAACGAGCGCGGATATAATGTGCAGTAAGGCAGAGATGTGACAGAATTAGAGGTCATAGGCTGTGTCGGTGAGGTAGCGATGACAATCCCTGTTGTAAAAAGTGAATTGGTGGCAGTGGTATCCAGAAACTCAGCAGTGTTGAGGAGAGAAACAGCAGTGACAGTGATCGATTTGTTTGCGATGCACTCGAGGTATGGGGTTGAAGTGATAGCGCAGACTGTGATGTCAGTGTGCGGTTGCATAAGGCGGGATGAAAATCGGCAGAGGCCGCTCCTATCAAGGGTTTGGTAATGACACCAAGAGATCCTTCGCCATGGCAATGCAGGACGAAGGACGAAAGAAAAAAGAGCGAGATCTGCGCCGCCGGTTGTTCATAGATTCCTGTCCGCAACCCGGGTAAAGGGGCGTCAGTGAGACCGGGCGCGGAATCGGAAGTGGGTAAAGACATCACTGTAGCGGACCTGTTACAGACATTAATGGCCTTCTGAAGCCCGGTGACGAGCAGTTCGAGTAATGGTGCCGGCGCCCTTGTAAGTGCTGCGGCCTTTCCCTTATAGTTGAGACCGTACGCGTCGGGAGTTGTTGATGAAGAAGGCGCAATAAGTCAACAGACAACGGCACTGTGAGGTTCAATTCAGTTGACATTACTACCAGACGCCGATCCTCTTCTACAGATCAGTAGACGCTGGATGCTGTGGCCCGAGACGCTAAAAGAGCCACATAATCCTCTGGATGTGTACGCCAACGGTGTTATGACAGCGCACATGCAGTTAGAAGATGATGAACGCATACATGGCGGGTATTATTTGGAGCGCCTCTTATCGGAAATGTCCGCAGAGACTCGCAGATGACATCCAGCTTGTCACTGCAGTTGCAAATCCGGCGTAGCAGCTATGGTAAATATGGTCTCGTTGTGGGCGGTTCGGCGAGCGTGACATGGATGAGGCCGAAAGATTAGACACGGAGAAGGTCTATATAAAGAAGTCGGTTAGATGGATGGACAGACGAAAGATAAAAGATTAGTCTATCAAGCTCAGACTGTGGAGAAAGGACTAAAGCGGGAGCACAAGTAATCAAGGAAATCGATAAAAGGATAATGAACGATAGAACATAGGTAGACCTAAGGCCCAAAGGGAGGTGTGACTAAGGAGACGAAGCACCCTATATAACTCGAAGTGTAATCAATCGCTGGAAGCTGCAAGGAAACGCAACAAAAGTCAGTAAGAAAAGGAGAGAGAAAAAGGAAAAGGCAATGCAACGGGATAAATGGGATCCATGGCTCACATGGTTTACACGGAATTTAACTACTCAGAAGCAGGCGGAAAACGTACAAAAAAGGGAACGAAGTAGATGAACAGCAGTACTGATGCTTTTTCTGCCATTCATGACCAATAGTGTGAAGAATACAAACGGGGGAGTAAGGTGGACCGAACAGGAAAGCTAAATGTCGTAATCAAACACCTAGGATCAAGGCGTCCACGCCTTGTCAACAATATACCGTTACAAAGATCTATAGTGCAAAGCAGCATCGGCGAGACAGCTTCCTTGTAGCTTTCATTGCCCCGTATGATAATCAGTACTTACACGGCAGACAACTCAGCACCAGTCACAACTTAACGGGCAGTCCGACAAGATAACGGCAGCTGCAAAGCCATGCCCAGTAACATACCGAGCAAATCACGAGACAGGTCACGTGGACTCTGGCTTAGAAGGTGAGAGGGATTATCAGCATCCAGATTAATCACCAATGAATTCATTTATCGCTGTCAACTTGGCTTTAACGCAACTCGAGTCTTGTATCAATGTACATCTGGCAAACAAAACAAGGCCCTCCTCTGTAAGCGGAGACTAGGCATACGTAGTACATGTTCAAGCCAACGCAACATATTCAATATTATTCGTTGTTCTAAGTAACTAGGTTGTATCAACTGGGTGTTGCCCGCCGAAAACCCAGCACTCCACTATGCGTTTTGATTTTGTTTGGTTTTGTCAGGTAGAGATAGCAGGCCTCGAATCCGGAACCATTGGGATGTTAGCTGGGACCGCTACCACCTTAGCCGCCATGGCTTGGCAAAACAATGAATGACTGATTGGAGGGTCATTTAAAGTACACGTTGTGTGTGATTGGATTGTGGCGCACAATCTCAATGTGGACCGTGATAC